AAGGGACCCCCAGCTCCCCGCGGTTGCAGGCTCCACCCCTGCCCAGGCCTAACGCCTCTGGCCTAGGCGTCCGGCCCAGGCAGCGGGGACCTGCAGTGGCAGCGGGGGTCTCCGCGATCGCGCAGGCTCTGCCCCTGCCCCTGCAGGACGCCTCTGGTTGAGGCGTCCGGCCCGGGCAGCGGGGACCCGCAGCTGCAGCGGCCCCGTGATCGTGGGCTTCGCTTTAGGCCCAGGCAAGGGACCCCTAGCTCCTGGGACTGCCAGCTTCGACCGTGCCCAGCTCCCATGGCTGGCTCCACCCCTACTTCCTGCTATCACTAGCCAGGGCGGAAAAGTCACCTGATTCTCCGATCATGGCTGCGGGGCAGGGCAAAGGGGCCCCCCAGCTCTTAGCTCCCCCCTGGGTTTCTGATCACTGTCAGTGGCAGGGGGCTTCTTTCTGCTTTCCCTTTCGCCTCCCTGCATTGTGCCTACATATGCAAATTAACCGCCATCTTATTGGCAGTTAACTGCCAATCTTAGTTGGCGGTTAATTTGCATATAGCCCTGATTAGCCAATGAAAAGGGTAGCGTCGTATGCCAATTACCATTTTTCTCTTTTATTAGTGTAGATGACAACTGAGGATTTGTATATATTTTTATCTAAGTGTTACTTGTATTTGCTTTCTTATGAACTGAGTATTTACATCCTTTGCCTTTTTTTTTCAATTTGATTCTTCGTCTTTGAATATTATTTTGTATAAGTTTTTTAAGATTAAGAAAATTTGACCTTTGTAAAAAAATGTTACAAATTTTTCCCATTTTTTATTTAGCTTTGTTAATACACAATTTTCATGTTTTAGAGTTAAATTTATCAATTTGTTCTCTAAGAGGCCGATGTCATATATCTTAGAGGCCTTTCCTACTTTGAGAATATTGTAAAATTCTCCCATGGTTCCTTCCAATTTTTCAGGTTTAAATATTTGATTCACTTGGAATTAATCTTAGTCAAAATTAAAAAGTAGAAACCCAATCAATTTCCCTCTCATGATAACACAGCTGTCCCATTTATTGAATAATTTATTTTCCCTTTTATTGTATTTGTAATGCTACCTTTATAACTTTCTAAATAAATATATGAGTTTAGATCTTTTTCTGAACTTCTAATAACCTGTCTTCTCCTGTTCTAGTAACCACATTCTTTTAACATTCTAGCTTTATAACATATTTTAATATTTGGTAGGCTGGGCTAGTTTCCCCTTACCGCTTTCCCTTAAGAATTTTTCTGGCTATTCTTCCTTACTTTTTCCCCCCTCTATATCAGTGGTTCTCAACCTGTGGGTTGCAACCCCTTTGGGGGTCGAACGACCCTTTCACAGGGATCGCCTAAGACCATCGGAAAACACATATATAATTACATATTGTTTTTGTGATTAATCACTATGCTTTAATTATGTTCAATTTGTAACAATGAAATTGGGGGTCACCACAACATGAGGAACTGTATTAAAGGGTCACAGCATCAGGAAGGTTGAGAACCACTCATTTATATAAACTTTAGAGTCAGTTTATCGAGTTACACACACATTCACACACACACAACCCTGTTAGGTTCGGAAGCAATATCGCACAGTGGTTAGAAGCACAGAATCTGTAATCATCATGCCTGAGTTCCTCCTATTCTGATTTAGTAACGAACTCTAACTGCAACCTTGAGCAAGCTTTTATGCAATTTCTTACTGAAAAATGCACAACGAGTAATACTAGCTTCTACCACATAAAGTCACTGGGAGGACTAAATGAGTAATGTGTATAAGGCATTTAGAACAATGCCTGGCATAGAGTTAAGTGTTCAATAAATGTTAGCTAGATTTTATTTTGTTTTGAAGTAGAGATCACATTAACTCCATGTTAATTTTCTCCCACAGCAACACAAGGGAAACTGACCACAGAATGTTATCTATGGTTCTGAGTCTTCTTACCCAAGAACCTTCTTACCTAAGCAGCCTTTCTATCTAAGTCTGTGTGTCCCTGAGAGACATATTAAGCTTTTCTCCATACATATTTTGCCAGTCCTTTTTCCTAATGCAATGCTTTTTGAACTGCTTTGTCCAATATTACAATCATGCATTTTTTGGTTGCATATGCAAGTTATGTCTTTGCCTGTCTTTTAATTTTGTTACTTTTCTTC